TTATAAATTTTATTATAATTTAGAATTTAAATTTAAAATGTATCTAAATATGAAATAATAAAATTTAAAATTTTTATTTTATTTTTATTTTCATTTATTCATCTTTTTTTATTTTTTCTATTTATGTCCTTTAAAAATTTTAAATTTTCATTAAGTATTGTCATTATTAAATTTAAAATATACATTTATTATTGATTTAATTATAACCAATAACTAACCTTAAAAACTCCCTAGGGCTTCTCTCATGCACTACTTCTAGAGTTGAGAGTAGTGATAGTGGGTTATCCTCCCTAGGGTTTCTCTCCGGTATAGGAGTTCCTTCATCCCTCCTTTTTTCTTACCCCACCCTTCCTCCTCTTGATCTCCTCCTTTCTCTTATCGTTGTCTTGCTTTGGAAACTCCAACTCAAGGGACCACAAGGCAACGACTTTTTGGGTTTTTTAGGATTTACATCTCTTGATTTTCGAAGATTGCGATTAGAATTGATCTTGTCGGTGAAGTGAGATCTTGACAGGGGTCGAATTCGACAAATCTAATTCACACCAGTTCACGATTAGCTAGGCGATTACCGAAGGAAAGGGATGCTGTTGATAAGGCCGGCTATGGTCTGCATAGGAAGCCTGATTTTCAAGCCAGCAAAGGGGCTTTAGTTCCCTTAATGAGTTTTGATAGCATGGGTTTGAAAAGGATCAACAAAGATGAAAACATGATTGGGAGTATATAGAGGCGACTAGGAGACGTTGTGCTTGTCAGGAAAAGGCCCATACCCCTCTTAGTTGTTTTTCTTTAAGAACAAGTAAGACGGTAACTTGTGGGTTGGGGACTGTTTGTTGTCGAAATCCCTTACATAAGTATGTTTAGTAGTTTTTAATGCTCATAGTGACTTCCCTTTCTACATTAGTAGTCCTATTTAGTCCATACAACGATTGTAAATTCAATCCCTAATTACATATGGCTCTCTTTGCTTAATTATCAATATTTATCATGTGTATAGTTTAAATCTGTTACTAATATTATAAGTTATGCTTTTGATTTTATGATTATTTTATTTTGTTGTAATTTTTTATTATTTAATATATTTATCTATTTCTCATAAAAAAACTATAACCAATAACTAACATGTTAAAACTGATTATC